TCACAAGCATCAATCGAATGTTGATTCTGAGCAATTTTTGATCGTCAGTCAATTTGTGCGGAACAAACCGTGCACACACCTTTCGTAAGCCCAAACGTTCGGTCAAAATGCGATGTTTTGGAGATGTTCAGTTACATTTCTATGAATTTCAATTATGAGTTCAGCTGATTTTTGGTGAATTCACGCACATTTTCGATGGAGTTTCCGGTGATCACGGATTTTGATTGGGCCACTGTTGATCGTCATTTATGTCCTCACGACCACTTTGAAAACGTTGGAACCACTCGTGTCCTCTGCTACGGGATAGGAATAATCGCCATAAACTTGTTTCATCAATAGAAACGTTTCGATAAAAATTTTACCAATTTTAAAACAAAATTTAATGTTGCTCTTTGTTCGAAGTTCATTTTCGCACCGAAACTATTTACTTTGAAACGCATCTTGTATAGAATCGTCTAATACAAATCTCCCGATACGGACCGAATCATTCCAGCAATGCTACAAAAAGTGATTTGTCTATCCGTGCTGTGGCTAAAGACGATTTCTAAGGGTCTGAATCGCAGCTAAGGGCCGCACACATGAAGGAGGCTAGGGTAGTTTTCATACCAAAGGCAGGTAGGAACAAGCCAGCCAAGCCAACTTTCTTCTTGCTGAAAACGTTGGAGAAAGTCTTTACCATGACCTGGACAAGAGCTTGGCAAGGAAGGCTAAAATTCAATGAAAGATCTATCAAAAAATCCAAAAGTGGTGTGCAAAACAAAGAAAATACACAAAGTTCCTACGCACTCTTGATAGAATAGACAGTAGAACATGTTTGGAATACTCATTGATCATTAATCTGGTGGCGGGAAACGCGTGCAGAATGGGGATGACAGAAAATGTTAAAAGCAAGGCACCAGGGAAGCCCTTAGAGCATCTCTTATGCGCTTGTCCCGCACCAGCAAAGCAACACTTCCAGCATTTAGCGACACCACGTTATGAGACACTGGAAAAGATATCGATAGTGTGGATGAAGAGCATCAAGAGCTGAAATTGGGCTATGCGAGGCTCACGAGCCTATTAGAGGAACCTAACCTAACCAAACCTCTCCAATAAGCTGCTCATTTGTCGACACCGCCGATATCGGACCACTATAGCTTATAGCTGCCATATAATCTGAACGATCATAAACAAGCTTGTGACTTGTGGATTTCAACATTTGTGCACTTAGGACTTATGTGCTCATATGTATGTATGTATATAAAACATAACATATAATTATATTTTAAATATATAGCAAATATTATATATAATAACGCAACTGCCATGACACTGGCAACCAGTGAATCTTATCTCACTCTCTTATCTAACTCTTCAGCGGCTGTTGTAGTTAAAATGTACACATTTATATTTATATTGGCATTTACTCGTTATTACTTATCTAAGTAAAATAAAATATGATATTATTTCGCTAAAAATAGACCATTTGAAATCAATTTATTTAAAAACTCTTCACTGCCTTGCCTTAAAATCGAACGGAAGTTTATCTTCGATAAAGGTGTACTTAATGTTGAATATATATTTAATGCACATTTTTAAAGGGCGTAATCGTTAATAATTAAAACGCCATTTTTACACTATGAAATCGTATAGCACTAAGAACAGCAGAATAAAACTGCAAGAAACCGAGAAGCTATCACGCAAAATCGTTATGCGAATTGAAGCTCACCCACCGGTCGGTTCCACCCGAATATCAACTAAACAATCCCTTACTCGTAGATAAGAACGGCCGCCGTCAACTGTAATTTACCATCAATCTACATTTTATGAACACTGCATTTCATATTTGTGAAGGTATGATTCAATCAACAATGAGCCGACCAATTGGCAATCGGCATTTGGCATTCGACAAGCGGACAGCTATGAATCTTAAGCTCGAGCGCTCAGCGCCGTAATTCTATCAATCAATATAGCCATCCATCAACGGAACACAGCAATACGAAAAATATCGAACACATACAGACACACATGGGCGTCAATCGCAAGGAGCTCACCATTTTGAAAGTAATTCGTAATTCGTACTGTCAGCGCAAACGCGGAAGAAGGCGCTCGTACGCAGGCATAAGGCAGGCAACTGCTCAATATAGAGTATTTATTCCCACTTCAAACTCTCCAATTTCGGCTATCTCCATCGATTCGTGGATAAACATGWTTTTATTTCCTCACTGGGTGCATGTGATAAGTGTAAACAGGTCTGTCATTATGCAGATTTGAGCCGCCAGGCTTTCGCTCGTACTAAAAGAGTAACCTTTGATGGTTTGGCGTGAATGTTGTTGTTGTTGTTAATGATTCTAGAATGAGTACATTTTTTGGCAAGCACGAAACTCTTCATGATTATTATGTTGCGGTGCTGTCATTGTTGTAGCTGCTGTTGCTGTCACTACCCCTTTTCAAAATTTGTCGCACAGCGGTTGGTTTTTTGGTGTCCTGCTAGCACTGSCGCTTTGACTGACGGATGGTATGTTGCTGTGCAGTTTCGTATTGAAATCGTTTAATATACCTTCACACCCTTACCAGACGACGGCTTTACTTCCGCTTACCCCCCATTTCATAGCATGGAACATATGTATGTAAGCGCTAGTTTATTTCTATTTTAGCGGTTGTTTAATATCGCCCTCAGCAGAAACTCCGCGATATTGAATAGGGCGTTTGGTGTTTTCTCACTCTTCTCTTCTTATGTTATGTGTAACTGTACTTGCTCGCCTAGGTATGTGTTTTGTATGCCTCCTGGATGGCATATTTGTTTTGCTTTCAATGTCAAATTAATCGCCAAATTCAGTCGACTTCCCCTCTCCTTGAACTGTTCCAATTGCGGAGCCAGATGTTTTCTCTAAGCTGTAAAACCTTGAGTTTATTTTTTGTATTTCTTCTAATTTTCGTTCTCATTAACTTTCGTATATCCTTGTGTACGGGAGCAGACATATTCATCAACAAAGGGTTCATTCAGTGTTCGAAGTTTTTGAAATAAAATTGCTGTGGTGAATTGTGGAAATAACTTTTCCGGATATAGATTCTAAGTTCCGGATATAGATTAGTAGTCGCTTGTATGTATGTGCTCTCTCTAAATGTGGTCTAAAGACCAGAACAGCTAATTTTCGAATCTTTCCAAAGTACTAATTAACAAAAATGTCTATTTATCCAGTTCCATTAAACGTCTTTTACGTCTTTACTAACTCGATACATATACTCACTAGCAAATCTCGATCTTGTGTGCCTGCGGCACAGGCGGGAAAGAAATGCGAAATCGACGTTTCAAACCGATGTACATTAGACCATAAAAGTCTAACATTGATACTAAACACATTAAAGACGCTCAATACGCTTTGAAGGTCTTCAATAAAATTCAAGTAAGAGGTTCGATCGTTTCCTAATTCACTAATCAAAGTACTAATAAGGAAAGCCATTCATATCAGCTTCAGAAAGAACATACATATGTGTTGCAATTTTCGCAAATTTCATTGCCTACAAATAGGCGTTCAACAGTGCGTGGCGCTCATAGGGTCGATTTGTTACGGTTTTATGCTATAAAGACAGCTTTATGCGCACATTTACGAATAATGCATACATGCACCATTTGCCGAAACGTTTGCTGGCTGTTGGCGCTGCTGCTGCACCTTTTGGAAAGTACTTGTACCTCCGCTCATTCGCAATGAATGACTCATTAATTTTGTTGAACTGCTATAGGGCCCCAACCCTAACCTTGAGTCGCAGCTAGGGGTTAACACCGCACCCACACACGAACACACATACACAACCAAAAGACAGCGCACAGCCCACTGGGATGAAGAATGCTATTAGTAGTAGTGGCGGTTTTTGTGACAGGGCGCCTTAGTCACAGGAAGAAATGCGAAATTTTATGTGAAGTAATTTTTGAGTGAGAGTTGAGGCTTTCAGGGTCGGTAATAAATATTCTAATTATGCTTTTCTTGCTGCTTTAGGCTCCTTTTAAAAGCCAAAAAACAAAAAAATGTTTAAAGCAAAGCTACTTGCGAGTCTGTTGCGGAAACACTCGACGATTCTTGCCTTCCTGTCAGTGTGATGTGGTTTGCTGTGCACTTTAATGAGAAGTTAGAAAGAATAGTATTGTTTACAGCCAAATTATATTTATATGTGTTCGGGCAAGCGTTATTGATACATGTTGCTGTTGTTGTTGTAGCAGTAGAAAACATTCCTGAAGTAATTTCGTGGAATGGTACCGAGTTGACAGTCCTTCGCCGGAAAAAAATTCGGGTCCGTTCTGATTACTTAGACCCATCTGTCGTGGGAGCTATACATATGTAAATTTTTCTTTTTGGTTGATTGGCCATTAGGATAGTTCTTCACAGAAGACGTTTGGCCAAGTAAATGATGTTATCAACCATTGGACGAGGAGGGACCTAAGAACCGAACACTAATTGTTAAACTGGTTGGAATTCGAGTTGAAGGCTCGCCTGGATATCTGAACCAACATGAAAAATATCTCCATGACAGATGCTAAGAATTGTTTCTCTTCTCGCGAAGACACAAAATGAAGTCATTAAATTAATTATTAAAAATAATTATTAAAAGTTGGTTTATTTAGTATTTCATAAAAACATTGTTTTGTGAAATTTAGGTTAACTATGTTCTGATAACCAATGGTCAAATTTCGAAACACTAGAAATTTAGCTGGAAATGCCCAAGACAAAGCCTCAGCGCCAACCCAGTGATAGGCAACTTTTACAATACTTTCAGAACTGTTTAAGTTTTAAATTTAGAAATGTGGAAAACAAAGCTCTGCATTTTGGCATTTATGGTAATTTATAGTTAATTATTTCACACTTATCACAGTTTTTTGTCCAAGTGGTGGTCCTTTCAAAGTCGTACGGCAATATAGGATGCCCTGTTGAAGCTAAATAATGCATGTTAGGGTCACAAAGCACGTTTTTGTATCGTAGATCACTTGAATATTTTTTTTTTATGTCGTATTTGCTTTTACTCACCTGATTTCTCTCTGATGTTCCTAAAATTAGATCCGTTAGCTTATCTTCTGCCAAAATGTCCTCTTAAGGCGTCAAAACCACAGACTCACAGGTTATTCACAATTTCCAGCTGAACGATTGCAGACGTGGTAGTTAGTTACCTGGTTTACTTTTACACTTTCTCTTATTAACAAAACACAGCCCTCAGGTGTCTATATAAAACTTTAATCTTTGTTTCAAACTATTCACTTTCCATTTGTGGATATTTCCCCGAATTTTTATATACCACACACGTACATGTAAGTGATGGCTAATAGCACGTATCAGTGGTTCTGCCTAGAAGGAAAAGTTATTAAATTTGAGTCTCGAAAGCAATCCTCAGAGAGAGCGTGTACATATGTCGCCCACCGAAAGGCCGAAAGGTATCAATACCAACAACCAACAACAAAATGATCGATGGAAAACTTATCACTTTTATTTGCACGTTATTTCTTCACTTTAAAATTGTCTTAAATGTTACCACACGAGCTTCTATTTGTTGCTTCTTAATCTTGGACTTAGTTTACTTATAAAGCTCTTAAAAATTATTTTATAAAATAACACGTTCCATAAAGCTTATTAATAATTCGTTCACATTTCATTTTATTTTTTAAATTAATTTAGATTTAATTTAATTAAATTTATAACAGTACTAGGATTCTCCCAATAAGTCACATATTCAAGAGGAATGTAGTAGTGCCAGAATTATAGCGAAGATAGGATTTAAAAATGAAAAATTTAGGAAGGCTGAACAGCTGATTTGATTTTTTTTAAGGAACACCTTGGCTTTCAAAACAGATTCGTGAAGTTTTAGGTGGGAAAAACTCATCAGTAACTGCATACAGAAAATAGTTGCATTTCTATTAAAATATTATTTCATCTGTAACAAGCCAATTCCTCTTCAGATTCTTCTTACTAGCACTCCACCCCAAGTATAGCCCTACAATTTTTGTCTGGGTGCTAAAGAATTTGGCGCTTGTCAATAGTCGTAATATTGAAAGAGATATTCGACGCATTGCTTCAATTTTATTTATAATTCTGTTTTCTCTAATTTGCGGACGAAATTTACTTGCACTTGCATCCTTTTTAAGAGACGAATGAGCGAATAGACATGGAATTTAATGAAAATGAATAAAAGAAAACATTAAATGGCAGGTGAGCTGCAGCATACAGACATACATACATACATCATCGCCGCGGTCTACTGCAAAGCAAGGCGAATTGATTTTCCACAAAAATGTCTACTTGAAAACCAACTGAATTGTGCTGAAATGTTGCAAACGCAAGGATAACGCAATACTGAACCCGCCGACATGTGGTCGAGTAAAGAAAATGAATGAGCACTAATTTCCGCTCATTCGTTCGTTACAAATGCTGCTGCCGAGGTATGTACAAACATATATACTCGAGTTAATAGCGTTATTGCATAGGTAGCGAAAGGAAATCGCAACAAGTCGTGCAGCGAAGACCGTGGCGAAAGCCGTATGAGAGCGCACATAGGCTCGCGAACCACCACCCACCAACAAAGCCCGTATCATAAATAGCAACAACAGCAACAGTGTGCCTAGCCCGTGTGTGGGGTAGTATGGATGTGGGTTGTACTTTTGCTCATTCGAAATGCATCGAGTAGTACTTACTGCTATGTGTAATGTAATATGTAGTATGTATACATTCATATGCTTCCATAGCCAATTTAGGACATGACAGCCGCACAGCAGCCGGCTTTTTATAACGACGTCGAAGAAGAGAGAAGGGCTGATTCTCTCAAATAATCAATAATGCTATTGCTGGGCAAAACAGTGTTATGAAATATACTGCCATCACACGCTACGCCGTATGTCACCCACACTCTCACTCGCACTAATATTTTTTTTAATATAATGTATGCGCTTATAATATGAGCCTAACTACAAGCGTTACATTAAATATGTTATCCACTAGATGGTTCAATGCCACTGAGACCCTCATATGCTCTTTGGGCCTTTATCACATTTTTAACTGACTGAAGAGATATCACCTTCACTGTTTCTTTTATCACATGAACACGGCACACTAACACAGATGTGTCCACGTGAAGATGATGGGTTGGGGTCGGACAAACAGTCAAACGTGATGAAGAGAGCATAGAAACAATCTTATCGCCTTATCGTAGTTGTTGGAGCCGATAGCCTCAACGCGGTCGTCGAAAAATCAACAACACTCAGTTTTCTCACACACTATTTTTATCTACAAACATATCCATGCATACGAAGTATACCTGTATATGCTTTCTCTTTTTTATCATATTTCACCTTTCGTTAAACCACATGAGGTGGGGTGGAGTAGACAGGCGAATAAAAAGACTGAAAAACTTTTATGCAGACATACTAAACACTAGGGACATTCGCTCGTTCTCTTTGATCCGCACAGCGACTGTATATATATACGTAAATGCAAATGCCTAAACCTAAATATGTATTTTCATATTATGTACATATACGGTGGCATTCGTACACGAAAACGAAGATTGGCTCCGGCCGTCTAGTAGTAACTTTTGCAATCGCTAGGCAAAGTGTATGATACAAATTTTGTTGCTATTCACTTAACGAACTTTTGCTTGAATCAAATACAGAAGCGATTATCTTATTTGGTATTTTATGTCACTTTTTCCATTTTTTAGAACACTTTTCATTCATTAATATTTCAAATTAACGGTTTACAGTAACGAAATTTACATTTTCTTAAACTGATATGTTTGATGAATTCTTCGTTCAAACTGTATTCCGATAATCTAGTATAATTCACTGTACTCGGCAACGGCTTTACTTTGACTCAATTCTGTGTAAGCCAATTCAACTTGCATACTTTTTCGTGGTCCCCCTCAAGCGTTTTGGGGCGCATACGCTCTGCGATAGCTCTCGCTCTCCCTTCCTCTCTCTTTTAACATACTTTCAATATTCTCTCTTCTACAGAGTTGTATGTCTGTGTACTTTGGGCTAGTAGGGTTACATTTTGCTATGTATACTTACTTGTTGAAATTGACTAAATACTTTTCAAGACTTGATTGCTCTGGATTCGGACGTGCGATCAGATAGGTTGAAAATTCATTAGTTCTTTGAATTCTAGACTAGAAATATATAAATGCAGTTTCTGAATTTGTTCTTATAACGCCCCTTTCAGAATTATAATTATCGTAAATTCGATTATTTTGTGTTTTATAATTGTGTATTCTGATAATTATGTAAAAATTGTTTTTGAAATATCAAAATTACATTATTTCAAATTTTTAAACCGAGGATCTATATTTCGAGTGTACCATAAATTTTTTGTATTTGGACGATTCCTATATGTTAAATTCATCGTTTCTGGCAACACTATCCCGTAACACTTGCCTGCACTTGGTTTAGTTATCCGTTGTTTTTTGTTTGACAGTTGCTGTTTTGTGTTTTTCTTCTTTTCCAAAAATAGTGAACAGCACATAGACAAAAATTTGGAAACGAAAAACTTTAATTTCACTTTTACTACGCTAAACAACTATTTCCGTTTTGCCGAAGAATATAAGCCGCCAATTTGCAAAGTATTCATCTTTTGTTATAATCCAATTGTAGGACGCAGAGGCATACAGAAGCAATGTCTACAATACGTACTGCTTTGCAAGTGATTACCAAGGCAGAGGAGTAAAAGAAATTGTTGAAAATATAAAACAGTCAGTAAATGATTAAGTACGTAAATTGAGGTGACCAACGACTGCAGGCGAAGCGCGGGTGTTCAATTGCACTTAAGTAAAACTAGTGCGAAAGATAGTAAATTGAGTGTGAGTAATTTTTTAGCGTAAATATACATATATTAGCTATTTAAAAGAATTTTTAAGGATCGCAAGTTTCGAAAGTGGCACCGAGTTTTACAAGATATTTGGAGCACCACTTACTCGATGCGTGTGCAATCTATGCAAAGACAAATCCTGACCATCAACCTATAGCTAGCCCTCAGAACAAGCACACACATTTATACCGAAACAGTTCATGTCAGCAGCAATGGGCAATTATGATGGTGAGAGTAAAAAATCGACAGCTTTAGGCAGTTGTATGGCGGCACTAAAATGGATACCAGTCATATTCATCGCGGCTGTGATCGCATGGTCATATTATGCTTATGTGGTGTCGCTTTGCTTACGTACGTATCAAATATAATTGCCTCTTTTGCAGTAATTAAATTACAGTTATATATTTATTTGCAGTATCCATCGAAAACGTCTTTGAACAAATTGTTTTTCTGATATTTTATCATATAATATGTGTGTTGTTTTTCTGGTCCTATTGGAATACCATCTTTACACCAGTTGGAACAGTTCCCCCGAATGTAAGTGTAAGCACATAATGCACTGTTTTGTTGTAAATATGGGTATATGTTTGCAGTTTAATTTAATCGTACATTTTACGGTTATCAATTCTTATCTGAAATGTTTGCGTTATCGCAATTTCTTATTATCCCAAAAGCCCCTACTTCATGTAACAGGTGCGAAACTTATTAAACAAAATTATATATTAATCGAAATGAGTCAGTATTTTATAAAGAATTTAATCAGCGATGCATTATAAATATGTGTGTAAGCGAAGGAATGAATTATTAAATTGTTTTGCCGACAACAATGCTTGTGTCAGTTCGTATATTTTTCGTTTTCATTTTAAGTATTTGAGAAGCTAAACCGGATACATTATGACGTCATATTTGATACGGTTTTGATTTTAGCTAAATACTTTGTAATTCTGTTTTCTTTTCGAATATTTAGTACTAAAGTAAATTAATACCTTAGACTTCTCTCATTACAAGACTTTACCAAAAGCGTTAATTCCGATTTCTCCTTACTTTGGAAGAAATTTATATACAAATCCGTCAATGAGTATCACTGATCCTTAATTTAAATGTGAATGTAAGTCTGTTTGTATGCTTTCAAGACGAAATACTTTAGGTACCCTAATGGGCAAAAGAATTTTTAATTAATTAATATTAAATGTAAGGGATTTTTTATGGATTGCAAAAATATATTTTTGCATATGTCTATGTATAGTGTATACGAAGCCGCTGGAAAAGCATAACAGCAAATTATGTACATATCTGCCGTCCCTTTATAATTTTTGTTATATAGTAACTATATTTTGTTTTTCAACCTCTCACAGTGGCGAATTCCAGAAGCAGAAATAGAGCATATATTTCATGCTGACTCTCAGGATCAACAAAAGAGAATACTAGAAAATTTTGCCAAGACGCTGCCAGTCACAAATCGGTTTGCTTTAAATGAATATTATCAATTTTCTTCAATTCAAATGTATGTCTTTCCTCATAATTCATTGTTAGCACACTGAATGGTTCGGTGCGTTTCTGTGAAAAATGCAAAATAATCAAGCCAGATCGTGCACATCACTGTAGTGTCTGTGGTGCTTGTGTACTCAAAATGGATCATCATTGTCCATGGGTTAACAATTGTGTCAACTTCACAAACTACAAATATTTTGTACTCTTTTTGGGCTATGCGTTACTTTATTGCCTTTATGTGGCCTTAACATCGTTGGAGTATTTCATACGCTTCTGGCGGGTAAGTGCAAACTCACACACACAAATACTACTTTTTTTTTTGCTGTATGCATGTGGCATGTTTTGATCAAGTAGTTGTTATTATTTACACTGAATTCCATACAAAATCAAACAATCACAAAATTGTTCAAAAATGAAGTTGGAACTTTCACAACAGGGCGATTTGAATGGTGGCATGGGACGCTTTAACATAGTGTTCCTGTTCTTTGTGTCGATAATGTTTGCAATAAGCTTGGTGAGCCTATTCGGTTACCATGTCTACTTGACGCTTATGAATCGTACAACGTTAGGTGAGCTAATAGCAAAAACGTATTTCATCAAATTGAAAGAATTTCCTAATGAATATACCCTAATCTCTTTAGAGGCTTTTCGAGCGCCAATATTCCGCATTGGTGGCCCAGACAAGAATGGTTTCAATTTGGGTAAATACGCCAATTTCCAGGAAGTGTTCGGTGACAACTGGAAACTGTGGTTTTTGCCAGTCTACACGAGGTAACTTTTCTTTCAACAAAAGAGAATACTATTTTGTATATATTTTATCGTAGTATGTGTGTTTTCAACATTTTTTATTTGTTCACAATTTTGTTGATATGTGCAATTTACGTGTGTGTGCAGCTTTTTCGTTTTAGCAATTTGTTAAATGTTATTTACTATAGAATGTGCACTACTGAGTAATCAGTTCTCCTCTGCCTTAAATATACCTTCAATTCTTATTTTCTGATTCTTTAACCATTTCTACTGAATGTAAATAGCATTTAAAAAAAAGTTATTTGGCAAATTAAAAACATGTTTGTTACATATCAGTTAGCTATACCCGCTCATTCATGCGCAGTTAATGTGAGCATTTACTTTTTTATTTTTATTAACTATGATTTCGTATTCAATCTGAATTTTACTTATTCAATTCAACGAAAATGTAGTTGCTAAGTTTTTAATTATATCTCAAAATAAGAAAATTAACCAACCATTTGTTTGTATTTGTTGCGAACAGAATTTAGTATGTAAGTATGAGCAGAGTTGCTTTGTGACAATACGCATTTTTAAACTTCAATATTAAGATTAAATTAAATATACATACTCTTACCGTATTGAGTGTTTGAACAATGAGATTGAAGGTCACTGTCTCCAGAATTGATTTTTAGGCTGTGTACGCACGAGGACTCTTTTGAGAAAAGGCGAAGTGTACATAATAATTCGCTGTTACGCAATTCCTTATTCCGTTCATTTAAATTTTTTTTATAGTTGCAATAGCGCTCGGCTGCAAATGAATATTTAAATTATGTTCCGAAATGTATCATCTATATTTTGTATGTAATATTAAAATATATAAGTATGTAAATAGCCATACGATAAAAAAAAATCGGTTTGAAAAGGACGAATAACGATAAAAATTACCTAATCCATAATATATATAAGAATTTGAGAAAGTAATATGAAATAAATAGCATTAAAGGAGAATTTGAAAACAATGAGTGTCGAAAAAATCCTCGTCTGGACGCAGTCTTATTGGAATTTGGCAGAATAAAATATTAACAGTTGGAAAATGTGTTGAGTGTAGTTATTTTGATCATCCAATTGTCCAAAAACTGTTTTTTCTTGAAAAAATAATTGCTTAGTTCTTATACGTAGCCTTTTTTTTACTATCGTAATGAAAGTCAAAGCATAGACTTAGTTCAAATGAAACGATGAATCCTTCTGTCAATCCCTTGTCCTCCTTACTATCCTAAATCTTTGGTGCATTCTGAGCAAAGTGCGAAATAATCAAATAGAAATGCTGTGCACACAAAATAATAACAATAACACATTTAACTGTAAACGACCGTGGAAAAATTACTAAAATCAAATAACAAAATTAAACTCGAATAATTTTCATTACCACACTCATATTTGTCGCAGTGTCGGCGATGGATTGACGTACACAACTCAAAAGCAGCATCAGATGCAGTCATACGACTCCATGGGCGATACCACGCAGCGAACCAGGTTAGCATATGAACCATTAAATCCAGTTAAATAGTGCGCAGATAAGTTCAAATGTAATGTAGCAGCTTGGCAGCGCTAGTAGAACCAAAACAAATAAATACACACATTGTTGTTGTTTTCCGAATGTTTTATACTAATCGCAGCATTTTGTCTTATCCACGCCCTTTACATTTAACATTTCTTATACTAATTTGAAAAAATACCCAAACACATCTTTTTTGTTATTATTATTATCTATATAAAAAACAAAAACGAAAACACCACAGCCAACATGAGTTGCTGCACGAAGACGATACACTGCCATTGAATATGACTAGTGCCGCTGTCGGCTCAGTATCTGCGGCTTCCACTGCAACGGTGAAATCGGTTGGCGCTGGAGTCAATGGAATGGTGGCTGTAATACCAGTTCAGCCGGCACAACCGGTGAAAGCGACCACACCGGCAGCGACCGACATAGAAGTTTTAGTTGTGCCAACTATGGACACTGCCAACGGGAATGTGATTATCAATATGAGAGACTTAGAAAGCAGTAATAACGAACAGCAGCAAAAACAAAATAATCAAAACGTTTAGAATTAGCTCAATGTGTGGTTACATTGATACTTTTAGTTCGCTGCATAATATCCAACGATTAGTTACTTAAAATTATGTAAATAATTAAGGACGCCGACGACTTCAATTGCGCTAAGAAATCAATAGAATTAAGCCGTTTGAGAACCCCTAAATATGTCATGGTACACCTTTATGTATGCCATTGGAATTGAGATAATTATGAAGGCCATTAGTGAGCCTATTAAACCGTTATTTATAAAGTTGAATAAATATAAGGAAATAAATCGGGTTAAAATGAGACTCTGAAGATTTTCCAGTACTTTATAACTGAATCATTAAAAACCTACAATTATCTTTATTAGCATGGAAAATATCTTGTTGATTTTGTTATTTAGTCTTATTATATTGGAAATATTTCCCGAAGTAGTTTTTTTTAGTTTTATGTTGAGGACGAAAGCGTTAACGAATATCAGAACACTGGAATTGTAACATAACTGCATTTAAAAACTAAACTAAGCATATGATCGCAAAAGAGAAAAGTAGGAATATTTGTAAACAATTTAAATCAACGATATCTTCATACATACCTAATAATATTTAGAAGATCATATATATAATAAGTGCGTTTTAATTTAAAGTTTTAAAAAGCATTTTAAAATTTCTTATGAACAAATGTCTATCTGTATGTATATATTTATACATGTGTACAAGTATCCACTAGAGTAATGTTAAGAAAATGCTTGTTAGAATAAGCCTTTTATACTTTAATTCCTTTTGGTATTTTTATGTTTTAGATTCTAAAATATTGCCATTCAACTCTCACTTTTGCTTTTCATTGAAGCATCTTTCAACTTATTATGGGAAAACTGAAATAGAAAGGGTATGCAATGCCAAGTGGCTAATAGCTCACGCAGCTCGTGACATTATAGTGATTAACCCTCTTTGACCACCAGTGTCTTTATTGTATAAAATATTTATTTATCGATGTAATACCCTTATGCTAAGTGTGTATATTTCACTGAAATATGTAATTGGTTCTATCTATTTATCTATCTACTACATACACATGTACATATTGCGCAATTTTGTAATACATTCAAAACTATAATAATATACTTTTTTAACACCGAATTCCGTACAATTAATTTTGAAATATTTTAAATGTATTTAGTAGTTTCTTATTTGAGTAAACGATGGAATTATGCAAAAGAATTTTGTGTTTTTAATTTGCCAAATTCACTTTCAGTCGCTAGTCAGCAGCGTTTTTAAAAGCGCTGAGTAGTTGTGCATGAAATACACTTTATTCATAGAGCCATGTATTATATCTAAATTTAAAGTTCGTTAATTGGTGACAAAAAACTGGAAAACCATAAAGTCAATGCGGAGAAAACTATCCGATTAGAAAATGGTCACAATACAAAATTCCGATCATACATTTGCAAATCACGGGAATTAGGAATTCATAGTTAAAGTTGTGAAGTTGTGGGACTTTTCCCTACATACCTTAAGTATTGTATGAATTTCGTAAAATTTAATAAACTTCTGGTATTTATATCTATTTATCTGCTCGAATGTCAAAGCTTCTATTCTGGAAAATGTATATTAGCAATTATAGCACACATATCCTTCTCCCCTTTTTGAACAGCATGGGTGATGGCATCAGCTATCCAATACGTCATTTAGATGAGGACGCCGAATCGTTGCTGGGCAATAGCGATACACGCATTGAAATGGAGGAGGATGTCTTTCCAGAGACTCGTTTTCACAACACATACATTCCATAGTTGATAATTTCTGACGATAACGTGGCTTCATATTATATTTAGTTGAAAAACGGAGTACATTATTTTACGTTATTCTTATTATATAATTTTAGAATGAGATTATCTAAATTTTTTTGTTATTATTACGGTCACGTTTTGAATAAGTCAAAAACTCAACGAAAATATGCAACATTTTTAGAAAAAAGGTGGTACATACAAAGGTATACCTACTATGTACATATTTATAAAATGTATATGGTTTTAGTCTTATAATCATGTGTGTATTATGTTATCTGTGCATTAATAGTTAGTTTCGGTGGAACTGCGTAGTTCCATACAATATAGAAATATACCGACTCAGTGCTTCGTGGGTACTTCTGAACCGGACTGACAAACGAAATTTGTAACTTCAAGCTTAAAGCAGCGGGAACGGTTCCATGCAGTTTCTCTTCGCTAAATTTTGTGTAGCGAAATGATAAATAATAATGTATGTATGTATTGAAAACGTATTACAATTGAATGAAATTATAAAAAATAATGTACAATATATTAGTTAATAAGTTTCCTACCAAAACCATATTTATACATATGTATGTGTGAATGTATTTCATATCAAAGCAAAAATGTGGCAAGGAGGCATAGTAATTATAATATTTAAAATCAACCGTTTGCAAATAGAAGCAGAAAAGTGTAATTAGTATTAATTTAAGTGCGCAGTATTTTTCAAAATATAATTTTGATTTAAATGCTTTTAATTCTGCTTAGTCTGTAAAATGTGTGTCACTCTTGAATGAACTTATTCTAAGAAGCCTTGTATTGCAGTTTTCCCAGTTCATTACTCTTAATTAGAAGCTCAGTTCGTTTGTTGCTCATAAAACCTGGGAAAGAGGCTAATCCTGAGGACTGTGGACGGATACGAGATGAGTTAGTTTATCAGAAGTCATTCCATAATCCAGACTTTTTAGATTCGTACATTTAGAGGTTTCATGCAAATAAAAGTGTCTCACATGCCCTGCTCTGACACATTTCCAGCTTAAACTCACCTAATTTAGTTATTTTCCAAACTAAAATCAATCACCATAGCAGATTTTTTTTTAAATCGCGATAAACATTTACTGTAGATGTGTACCTATGGTTTTTACTCATTTATGTGGATATGCACATATGTATGTATGTCAGGTACAATATTTGAGTTATGTTTAGCGCTAACATCTTTATGTACATGTATGTATGTAAAAACATGCACTGGTACCTAAAATAAATATGTATAAAGAAATATTGATTTTTAGTAAAATGTATTGAAATTGAGAAGAAACGACAAAAACTAGTTTAATTTTGCAGTCTAATCTATTTCAATTAAAACAAAACATCATACATAATTATCGGTGTTAGTGAGCTGTGTAAAAATAATACAAACAACAAAAGTAGAATATAAGAGAATGTAACCAACGGCAAAACAAGCATAACCGGCATAACGGTTTCGCACAAAACAAAATTCAAAATTTTATCAGAATATAACGGCTATGTGACGCGTAGACGTAGATGGACGTAGATGTGAGCAAATGTGTATATAGGTCTACTCAGAACAATAAATACTACTGCAACACTAATATTTCATCAGTTGCAAGTACATTATTATTTGTAAAATAAATTTATTTTCATGAAAAAGGCTCACGGTCGCGAAATGCAAAGTACACTGGAATACAGCATTTAAAAAGACCCAATTAACTATTTTTTTTATATATTTTGTTTAGAGTATGTAAACTTCATTTATACAAGCTGTTGACTCTATTTAACTGGAGCTTGCGTAAATAGTTATTCGTAAGCGTGGATTACTAGTATTATATAAATAAATCTATACAGAAAACATACATTTTTGGGTTGATTCATTGTGGGGGAATTGGATATACCAATGTATTTATTATACAAAAAAGCTCAATGCGATCATTTGTACATTAACAAGTAAAAAGGCATATGATTTTTTTTTTTTTTTTGATGAAATAACGTCAATAGTTGAAAGTGTTCGTTTAAAAAGCCTCATATCCAATTTCACCTTAAGAATGTATATATTTTAAATTCAGGTTAAAATGACATACAAAGGTCTGTTGTTTAAAATGTTTATAAACAATTTATAATATAATGATTATTTCGGTTCCTACAATAATAATTAAACTTAATTAGTCAAAGCGACTTAGATCGCCTAAATCTTTAGATGGTACCGTTGATTTGATCTCATTCGTTGGCACTACTTCGAAGTCGTCATTAATCGTACTCGAGGCATTATTAAATTGCCTTGAAGCTTCTGGAGGTGCATGCTGGCTTTCGTCTCTTGAATTCATAAGTGTCGCTTTGCTTTCCATTATATTCTTTCGGTGCTCTTCTTGGTTAACCTCATGACTGTTCACATGTTCGTCAAATTTACGTTTCTTGCTTTTCTTATTACTTTTAATCACATCTGGACGGATGCCAGTATTATCACTGCGCGGCAGTTGGTATTCATCAAGTTTTTTCTCCACTTCCGGTACACTTGGTTCGAATTTTTCCTGCAGTGCTGCCAAAGCAATTAGCAATGCCTCTTCCGTTCGAATTGTACGCGACCCTTGACGTGGCAACACATTCACATAATGATCGAAGAGTAGACCAGGGTCATCTACATTCAGTTTTTCATCATTGGCCAGGGCCTCTTCGAGACCTTTTAAACCGCCAAATACAATAAGTAGATGGTTGAATTTGTATAAACGGTTTGGCACCTCGTGCACATTAGTACCACGATCGGAAGTACCTATTGTAAGATCATATCCCCCAGCATAAGGACCCTTTGTGAAAATTTCAGCAAGAGAATGAGCAATCCGTACTGAATAACCCCAATAAATGCCTGTTTCTCGTCGGGGTTCTTCTGGACTGACAATTTTGCCTCGCAGTTTTTTGTTGTTATCTAGAAAAATTTAAAACGATCAAATCTCCACAAACAATATAATGAATTAAGTATACCTTTCACATTGTCCAACTTAACTGTGACGCGGACACCCGGTTCAATGGCTTTATTAACTAACACGTCATTCAATAAGCCCACGTTAACATACGAATGTCCGTCTTTTGCCTTTTTGTCTGAAATTATTCCTTCACGATATAGAAATACGTTTTGTTGACGCAAGTGATGTGGCGTGTCCAATGGATTCAACAAGCCCGAGTACTTTAAATCTTTATGTAAGGGGAAAAAGAACTTCCGTAGATATTGAGGGCATTCCAAGTACTGAAGGATACGCGCTAATTGCAAGCAACTACTCCGCACTGTTGGCGGCCGGGAGTCACCATCGTTTGCGTTTTTCTCATCATCAGAGTCATAATTACGTTTCGTTTCACGTGCCGTTGCCACACCCACATCATCGAACACTATTACTTCATGTACACGAAAAATACAAGCAGCGCGCGCGATTTGACCAGCAACATAAGAACGTAATTCGGCAGATTGTGCATTCTCCAATATGGAACCTGGTACCGCTATGCTTATTGTTGAAGGATCGGCTTTAATATTGTCTGTACCTTCCACATTAGCCTTAGCTTCCTCGAGGACAGACTGTGAATTTTTCTCCAATTCTTTGAGCAGTTTATCCTGTTTACGCTGCTTTTTTAGAGCTTTTCGTTCCTCATTAATTCTTTTCCATGATTTTGGTGGCTCCTTTCCTATCAAGACTGGTGGCATTTTTAATTTCCTTATAATTTGTAATTGTTTTGATTTTAAATACAGAAAAATCAACTTAAGGAATTATAAAAATTGTTCACGATATTTGTGAATTGCACGTGTAGAAAATGGCAAGAGTTTTGTGGTGAATATAATTTTTTGACAGTTGATTGTCAGCTGGTTATCATAATTTTTCTTTTGATATTTTAATTCGTAGTTGTGATATGGGCTTGTTATCAAACATTTGCGAAGTCCTGTTTCCTGTTTATTATTTATGGTAGAGGTTTCAAAATAAAAGTACAATGAGCCGAGAAGTATTGGCACCACCATTACAACGAATGGACAACAATCGCTGCTATCGTGTAAATTTAATACATGAGGACTTTGGTAATCAACTTGCAGCTATGCAGCGCAAAGAACATAAACCTGAAACAACAAATGGCGAAACTGCATATATGGAGCAAGGTATGTACAAGTCTCGCTTTCACCATTTACACATTCCATACTCTATTATTATTCCAGACCTCTATGCCGAAGATGACGATGATGAGCAAGAAAATAGCGAAAATTTCCAAATAGAGGAACTTACAAGCGGTCATTATAAGCTGACTATGCATGTTGCACAGTAAGAGGACATTCCCTTGTTTTTAATACCAACTTAATCAGAATCCTTTTATTTTAGGAGCTTTTACGGTGGCTTGATCGGTTTCAAAGGCAGCACGAAACGGCGCATTGAATCAGAAACGCGTACAGAAATTTTTATTCCACGCAATAGAGAAGGTGGTCCGAAACAAGTCGAAGATATCACTATAAAAGGTCAGTTGTAAATATATTTATATATTATACAATTTATATCACTATTACAACTTTAATTTCAGGTAAAACACGAGTAAGCGTTATGATGGCTCGGAGAAAGATTAATTTGCTAATAGTTTCTCTGCGCAAACGTATGCGACCAACACATTTTGCGTGTGTACCATTAAATTTTGGAGAAATAAAGGAGCGATTCTGTGAATTTAAGGTACATATAAGTTTTATGCTTACAAACGTACTTAAATAGATTTTCTTACCTCAGAAAGAACTTCTGGAGCTTAATTTGCCAGGTATTGATGAAATGCTTTTCCAAACTGAGGAGTGCATACATTTAACATTAAGCACATGCGTATTGCTAGACGCCGCTGAGCGTTCTAAAGCTGTAGAGATATTACAAAGTTGCAAGTACGAGATAGTGTATTGTTTTAAAATTTTATACATATATAAATAATTTTTTTTTTGTTATCAAGGGCATATCTCTCTGACCTACGAACACCATTTCAAATTGAAGTTAGGGGACTGGAAATTATGAATGATGACCCAAGTGCAGTGCGTGTATTATATGCAAGAGTAGAATCCGTTGAATTACAAAAGTTTGCTGATTTGGCAGTGCAGCCATTTTTGCGTAGTGGTTTAGGGTTTGATGATTATGAGCGAGATAATGTGAAACTGCATATGACTATAATGAATAATCGGTATCGCAAACAGTTAGACGCGAAAGCAGCAGGCTCTTTCGATGCGCGTGAAATATTAAAGCGTTACGGTGACTACTATTTTGGAAGAGTGGAGTGCAATGAGGTGCATTTGTGTGTGATGCATCATACATCGGGTGATGAACATGGAACTTTCTACAAAATCACTGGAAGCTTAAAGTTCTAAAAATAAAAATGGACGGCTTCATAATTTTGTATTTATTTATATTGAATGTGTGCTCATCTCAATTTGTGTTGCTCGACCCCCAGTTTTTGTAGTACTTTCAAATCTGAAATCATTTTAAATTCAAATAAAACACATTTAATCACTTTTTAAAAATATCTGCATTTATTCTTATATTTCAATATTAGTAAATTAATCTTTTACTATATTACGTTCAAAATTTTCACTTATCTAGTTCGCCTTTAGTTGTAAACACCGATTTTCATGTCATTTTTTTTTTTTTTTTGTGATTTTTAGTAACTTGTTTTTAGCGTTTATAACTTTTCATCTTCTAGCTATGCATACATATTTATGTATGTATGTATGATTGTGAAAAAATATTACACATTAACGCAAAATTCATCTCATACTGTGTGTGATTTCTTGCTCATTTAACTTAAAAACTTCGAAATAATTCTATAGTATTTTTATTTTATAAAAATCAAATTAAAATGCTAATGCTTAGCCTTTTATTGCTTTTAGTTTGTTTTTAAAAATTATATCAAATGAAGTTGTGTCATTTCAGCAGTAAACGAGTTATGATTGCAATTTTTTTGCTTAGGAAATAAGATAAACTTTACTCACATATGAAAGGCGATAAACACTAGACATTTATTTCAATAGGAATCAAAAGAAAGTTTATTTATAAGACGAAGACTCTTAAATTGATAAAAAAAAAAATTATAATGGATTCTGCTCCCATCACATCCTTTCTGAACCAGTCACAACATTCATTGCTTCATCCAAAAAGGAGGTATAACGTAAACTCGAATATCAAATTTATTCAGACACACTAATAGTGTGTCATTCCATTAGTACTAGTTATTTTAATAAGTGTATACAAAGTATTCGTAACAAATAATTTAAAAATTTGCGCATTTATTTATGCGCTACACGCTTTAAGTGGCATCCGCACAATAATTCAAAGGAATTTGAGGCGTTTTGTGTTGTAGCGCGTTTTATTTCAATTTACCTGTTGTATTTAATATTAAATGTTTTGTTCTTTAACTGAGTATAATAAATTCACGTTGTTCATATAATTGAATTTCTCTTTAGGATTTCTTATTTGTCAGCTGAGTTTTGTTGTCATTTAGTTTTTCTTTTACTGTTACTAATTTTCAGTCTAAAAATTGGGAGTTATCTGTTGCAACTCTTTATGGCTGATTTTTTGTGTTGTTTCGCATTTATCTACGTTTGTGTATATGTGTATATCTAAATTTGTTGTATATTACCCTTTGGTTTAGCACTGCATTTAAATTGTTTTGAGACATTTTAAATTTCATAGACTGGAAAACATTTATAACATTGAATCGGACAATCAACTACATAATTTGATTTCATCTACATAACTTTATTCATAATTATTATTTATTTATTATTCTACACTTCTGCCGTGTTTTGTATAATTTTTGGTATAAACTTAGTAGTGTTGTCTTAGAATTGTGTGGTTTATACTCACATCATATATATGTATGTACGTACAAGGATGTGTATAGATGATAGTATATAGTTATGTACATACATATATAAAAAGTTGGCTGACAATCAATGGAAGTTAGCGGTTCTACTGTGTGTTCATGTTTTCGGAAATATTTTGCTTTTTGTAAACTCATGAACACTTCTAAATCGTAATCAAATTATAAAGGGTAAGTTGGACATTAGCATTGGATTGAAGTTGGCCCATTTCACTTTGCATCTTTTAGGCGCTACTCAAGGAACGACTCTGCTTCGGCACATAGTATAAGAATACAGATCATACTTTCAACTTCAGATCTTGCTAGCTCTGTTACGATAGTATAGTCCACATTGGGAAGCATTCCTTTCGATTTTGAAGTTTTAATTACGTCGACGTAATTAAAAATTAACACCATAATCAATCATCCCTGGGCTAACTACTTTGGTAATATAACAACAGTTTTGGCCTAATTTTTTTGTTCGACTTAGTGTTTTGTGTTGAGTGGGAAATATTTTTTCATAACTATTGTAGTTTTAAACTATATTTGTTTGGGATTTAATTTCATATTGCTTAATGAAATGTCTTGTAAGTTTTCCAATTTGAAAATAATAAAAATAACAAAATAAAAGAGAAAATACCTGGTACATGGATTAATAAAAGTGTATTTTGAAGTATTTTTAAGCTTTGTTCAATGTGCAAATAACAGTACGGATATTAAAGGATACAAACAATATAATGACAATTTTGAAATGCTCACAATGCAATAAAAACAAACGGTTTACATATGCTGACGTGATATTTCCTAAAACAATTTCCTTTCTAAAGTTAAAGTAAGTTTTTTCACATTCAAATGTGTAATATGTATTTATGCACGTTGTTATTGTAAATGTTGTGCTTAATATTCCTGTGTGCTTGCGTGTGCGTGCGTGTGTATGGTGTTTTTCCGTGATGTGCTTTACTCCCGTTTACGATTATTTTGCTTGCTTCAGTATAAAAGTCCTTTGGATTTTAAAATTGCCATTTTAAACTATTTCCATGTGATTGTTGTTGGAAACTTCTCTCTGTTGATCATAAATATTTCACTTTCACTTTGCCGCTGTCAATAGCTTGAATTTCGTCTCACCATCCTTCTCGTGGTCTTCGTGGCCGCCTTCGTTTCCGGTCAGCTCCGCCACTTGTCTTTAAATCTTGTTGGCATTTATTACTATTTAGCATGTCCATTGCTCAGCACTGCTGGCAAGACGTTTGCTTGTTGCACCACCGCATTGATCACTTCGATTTCTTTCTTCAAAAAAGCGCCACTTTCCTCGACACCGTTTACTAGTTTGTCAATAGTCTCGTTGCCGCTGCCGCCACTCCCTGTTGTCACATTTGCACCGATTCCAACACGTTTGCGTAGGCCATCTTGTGATATGGGTATTGTGGGAAAGTCGCGATTGCGCATCAAATCGTTTTTCAACTCAACGATGCCGCTAACAGTTTCCGCTACAGTCTTATCAATGAATTCTTCAATGTTCTTTGTCTCCGTTCCGATCTTTTCCTTGATCTTATTGCCTAATTGATCCATTTCGCACTCCTCGTGCTTCACACTGACCGCTTCGCGTGCGCATGCTACGGTGGGTAGCAGCGGTGCCGGTTGTGGTGCATTGAGGTTCGACGTTGTTGCTGGAGCGCTGAGGTTTTCATAGTCGTCGTTGAGATCGTTACTATTGCCTTGAGGTATTTTTGCTGAGATGTCATTAAGAACGTCCTGTACAGCTGCGCTTGCCGCCGGCAATGAGACGGTGCTGAAGTTGTTGGACTTGATATCTTCTTCACTTGGGTTTTGTAGTTTCTGTGGGGTGCGTTCTCGGCGTGGTTCGCCGCGTATGTATTTGGGTAAAATAAAAATGGTAACCAGTGCAGCTATATGGAAACATAAATAATATTTCAGGTACAATCTAATGCTGCCCTGTAGTGAGAGTGGAAGAAGAAGAAAAGAGTTATTTCATTAGTTATGTGAGGTATTGAGGTATGATGCGTGTAGAATGGACAAACACTTATTGTCAACTGCTTCGGATAAATGGTATCAAAAGGTATTGGATATTAATGAACGATGACTGTTATATATATTTATCGAATTGTCTTGATTAAAATAATCCGATTTAAAATAAATTTTGACGTCATGACCATGAAGGTGTATTTTTGGAATTGTAATATTTACAGTTGCATGTTTTTTTTGTTTTGTGTTTTGAAGTGCATAGAGCTTTCTTCCCGAACTTACCATGAATTCAAGCAGTACAAATGGGAATGTTGCATAACCCATTACTAGGCGAGTAGTTAGGCATGTGAGTATGTCATAGAACATACGCGTGAATTGAGTGCGCTGGAAGCGATGACGGAACATGCGACGAGCCTACGAAAATGAAAACGTTTTTCGTAATGCTGCTTGACACAGAAATTAGCTAAGGCACTTACCACGCGCGCAGCGGTTACCATCAACGCACCGGTGGCGAATGTCACATAGTAACCAGGATAGAAACCGTGCCAGACCGCGCTCAAAGCGAATGTCAATACAGTACCGTATTTCTTCGGCACACGCTCATAAACAATGGTGCGCAACCAACGATTTGTGCCGCAGTTCCAATTGTTGATAGCGTCGCGCATATTTGTGGCAAACTGAAAAAAGAGGAAGATTAGTACTTTCGTTGCAGTGTGCCCAAAACATACCTCAAATCCGAGCACATTAATATTCGATATTAAGTCCCATTTGGAGTTGCCATCCTTATCGTACCCGGTGAAGCCTAGACCTGAATTATTACAGATGGCATCGGCTAGTAGCCATGCGTGATAATACTTAAAGCGTATGCATGATGTGGCCATCATGGCATACCAAAATTTGTACGCCATCGAGCTGTCATTTACAAAGTCATCCTCCTTCATGTTCTTAACGGGATACATTTTCACGAATTTCATAAATATAAATGCACACACCATACTGCCGATGACCTTCTTGATGACCGCCTTGACGGGGGAGGGCTCCAACACCAACTCTGATTTGCCATTATCTAAATTGCCCTGAGCAATAAGAAGGAAAATGGAAACTTATGAATAATCAAAAGATGTGCGTACAAATGTAGAAAGCTTTGTAATAGCTGTGTCTACAGACAGTTAGATATGCAGAATGTGAAAGTTTTGAAAGGTCTTTAGTGGTAGTTAGTATTTTCGGCTAAACCATGTTCCTACCAAACATTTGAACATTTTCAAGAGTATCCAAATGATATTAAATTAACTTGTAGATATGAGGCATTGTAAAATATAACGGGATTCTATTTAAAAGATAGTCTAAAAACTCCATGTCGTTTATTTAATAAAGTCTACAGAATTAAAAATATATATTTCTACAATAGTTAGACCTAACCCTCAAAGGACACATGTCATAATATTTGATCGCGAGTTATAGCATTTTGAGTGCAGAAGTTTCGATATAAAAAAAAGATGAAAAAGAATTCCGTAGATTAAAGGACACCATTTTGTGCAAAAAAGGCGGCTAATACTGAGAAAAGGCGTGCTTAACAAAAAATTAAAACAAAAGAAAAATTTCACTATGAAAATAGTATCGGGAAAATGAAGGACTACTATATCAGCCACGATTATAAAATTTAATTCTACACAGGAATGAGTATTGCTTTTATAACGTATGAACTTTATGGCCTGCTGGTAACTACAAAAAAAATTTTGCAATATTTTGAGTAAACTAGAGAATTTTTGTCAAGCACTTTTTACCATCGTTGCTACAGTAACCGTTAGCACTGACCAAATTTCACCGGACAATAATATTATTCAATTGGCGTACACCGTGTATACCAACCATACATATATATGTACATACATGCATATATATAAATTTACATGCATTTGAAATGCGTGCGTGCTTGTTCTACTCACATTCGTCGATGGTCGCTTTAGGAGGTTGTAGCCTTCAACAAACTCAATGTAGTCTTTGTAGAATACCAATGGGCCCGCCAATAACCCTTGAAAGTGCAACACATATGAGAAGTATTCGAGCGCCGAGGGAACCTTATAAATGGCGTGATATTGTTGTGCTTTTGTGAGGTCCTGCAATTGAAAAGCAAAGCTAGACATTAGTAGTTGAAATGACTAAAGAAATAAACATGTGAAATCATAGGCGGTATAATTTATAAAAATATCACTAAAAGAGGCTCAACTTTCGCAGGTTCTCCACCCCTGTAGCCAAACTCACGCGCTACTGCTAACGCCATTGGCTGCCACTCATCGTGCCGTTGGTGCCTACTTATTGCTTTGTCGTAGTTTCCCAGTTTTTCGCACTCACCTTATGCTGACGCACAAAGCCGTCGTGTATGCTGAACGCTAAGCTTGTTACTTTTTGTGTAATTATCATTAGCGGACCGGTGATGTCCAGCGAGTAGGAGCCATAGTCGTAGATCTGCCTAATCAGATGGATGCACAACAGGTATGTCATGGCGACGAGCATGACATTTCTGCAAATATACAGGGAATTGCATTAGTGAGATGTAAATTTGTGAAGCAAATGCAGGTAAATGTAAATATTTAAGCACTTGCTGTGGGCGAAATAAGGTTCATGCATATATCCTTACCGCTGCACCACCCGCGGATCCTGCGTACGTATGACAATGTAGCATACAGATGGAAGTCCGGCAATATGTATGGCTTGTGGACCAAAGCAGAAGTAGCCAAATGCCAAACCCACGGTCAACGCAAAAATGTGTCGCACATGGGCCGATACTCTGGAAGGATGCAGAATCGAGCGGAACAAAGAGGCCAGAAAAAGTGCGCCGATTTGACATATTAAAAAGTTAACCTGCAAAAACCAAAGAAAATACATTGTTATTATCATCTCTAGGTATACACATACATATGTACATATATTCTAAGTAATGGGGCGTTGGACTTGGGGACTCAAAAACTGGTAGAGAGCTATTTTCTGAATTGTTTGCCGCCGTATAGACCATAAAATGCCAAAGTAGATTAACAATTTAGCAAATTACCGCAATTAAATAAAGCATAATAAAGTAAAATTAAAAATGTAAGTGCGCTTTATATTATATTTATGGGGATATGTCAACATTGAATTTAACTGTAAATGAACCAACTGCACTTTTCAAAGTCCAAATTGAAAACATGAATTATTTTAACCTGTAAACCAAGAATGATAGAATGCAGGATTACGCCAACCGCCATCTTGTGCTGTAACACTTTTGAAATGTGAAAAAGCTGAGAACAGTTTGTAAATTGTCAACAAAAAAGTAATTTATTGGTTTCTAGTAAACAGTTTTTAGTGAAATTGATAGAAAAATGTAACGGGAATATACGTGGCTCATTTTCAAATAAATACATTTATCTAAGGATAACATAATTGCCAAATGTTTCGAATATACTTGTAAAACGAAACAATAATGGTTTAAAAGGAAATTACTAGACCCAATTAAATAATTACGGGTGTATAACGTAATGCCGACAATCGAAATCTCAAAATCTAGAATTCCGGCAGTCAAACTGTATGTATGTAAAAGTACAAATTGTTTTTGAAATCCATTTTAATCAGGAGTCTGTCTGTATACTTACTGTGACTTATTAACTCAAGTAAATGGATGACATAGCCATAAAATAATAGCGATCAGTTAACCGCATGCGATAAGAAGCAAATTTTCAAAGATTCTAATAATATGTAAATATAATATGCCGACTGCTGGGGTTATCATCCTCCCTGCAGAAGGGAATTTCGGACGCATATTTCATAATCATATTTGTTATTTCTGCTAGAACTGTGCTATAAACACACAGAAAATAATGAGATGAATTTATCCCAACGAAAAACTTGTTCCGTTCGATTCTTACCTCAGAAGATTTTTATAAAATATGTCCTTATTTTTTTATTTGAAAAAAGAAAAAAACCTTACATTATGATTTCCGATTTTCCAAGACCACTTGGAATCACAAGATCACTTGCTCAGGTACAGTTACCGGTGCCCTCATTTCAAGATCAGGACAAACGGAATGATAAAGCGGAATACGCGACCGGCTAATACAAAAAGTTATGATATATAAATCAACTTATGTGATGCGATAATAATTGAATCGAATAGCTCTTGATTCAACTATGAGGCTAGGGGGAGGGAAGGGGGACTCTTTATTTTGATAAAAAGTTTGCACAAAAAATGTATTTCTATATTTAATTGTTGAATAATATATTTTCATTCTTACTTACACATATACAATCCCACATATACATATGTATGTGTACATTTGTAAGCATGCATATTTGTGTACGCAATTTTGATCACAACCCCAAATACGAATAAGACAAAGAGAAAACTCATTCGGAGGTTTCGTTATCAAACAAATATAAAACGGCAGCGTAGCATATACATACATATGTACATATTAGAACCCAAACCACTTCTGCGATAATCCGCAATATATTCATATATTGTATATGCTCTTCAGAGAAAAATGTGTAAATTTGCATAATTATCAATATAAACGTTTTAATGCCAAGAGGGTGATCCCGGTTATATACACTTGTTTTCGTCCATAACACTACAGGTGCAAATGAAGTATGGACAGTAAGTGAGATTGTTGATTGTGGAAAACTTGGAATAACCATCGAAACGTTTATTATGGGGCTCAGTTTCAGCTTAAAAACTTATATTTATTGTTTTCTAAAACACATTTTTCGAGCTTATTAACGAAGAGTTTATGTCTTCTACAGATATGCAAACGTTTCTGACGCGTGATTTGACCTTATTTTACAAAATTTTAATTTTTTTTTTTTTTAATTTAAATAATCTAACTTGTGAACGAATAGTAATACAACGTATATATAATATGAGAGATAATTCATAAATACCTAAGTGTGAAACTATCATGTATGGTAAATACACATGTAAATGAGAAAGCGTACATTCAATTAAGTCTTGTGAAGCTGATAACACTTTACTACTACGTACACATGTAGATATGTACATAGATGCGAACAGACAATGCAAGAGTAAATATTGAATTTGAAGATGTCGATCGCCGCACATTACATATTCCCTCGCTGTACATGTCTAGCCTTAATAAGACGATGGGAGAAAGATTGGCCCCCCCTTTACCCCGGCTAGTACATACATAAATGCACACAGTCACAACGTGACTATATAAAATCAAATCGAACTATAATAGACACGGAGAGGGAAGAGGAACGCAATTGCTGGCGCAGTTCGAGATTCTCATCTGCATTTCATTCTCGTGTGCATATAGGCATACATATGTACATATGTATATACATATGTATATGTGCGAACGTATACGGTAGAGCGACAATTAATAATAAAAAGTGCAAAGCGCGAAAGTGAATGGAAAACTTTTTAGTGTTGCAATCAAAATGTTAGAGGATTGACAATGTGAAGGGAAGAGAACAATGAGTGAATTGTTCACTTTTCACCTAAACTCCTAAATCGTCATAATATTTGCGCTGTTTGAGTATCATGGATAAGGAAAGTCGGCATTTGAATAGAACTTTTTTAAATATAGTTTACGAGCACCAAAACTCTTTCACACGATTACCAAGCTCCTCCAAATCTGTTAGAGCGGTTAAGTGTTTCATAATCGAAAATGTTCTATGAGCAATTTTGCAGTCAGAAGGCAAAGGTATTGTGGAGCAATGAAACAAAAATAAAGAATTGAATTTTCTGATATTTTCTGTAAAACCAATTTTGGTGCTAATTTAGCATGCAACAAGCTCGTGCTCACCGCGAAGGCGGTGCATGTAACATTTTATAAATATTTATGCACTCGTATGTTTGTATGTTTTCTTCTTATGGCACGCTACAAAGCTGCTTGTGTTTGGGAAGTGCGCAGCAGGCAAAAAGCGAGAGAATAGATGTCAAACATGAACCATTTTACGCCGTCAGCGTCAGAAGCATTTGCAGAGATGTTGCCGACAGTCACATGAACTAGCAGCAGCTGTCTTGGGGAAAAAGTTGGTAATACATTATTATTGGCGAAATCCAATTGATGTATCAGTGAAAGCTATAACCGGAGGGAATAGTTAACTGAAACAAAAAGCCGGAACTAACGGTTAAAGCCATAGAAAATGTTCTCAAAATGCCCACTCATAAGCAAAATATATTGTAGCACTCTCTAATATTATATTGTAAGAATGAATCTTTGGATTAATTGCATCATTTTATCCAAAAACTTGTTGCTTTCGTGAAGATAATTTCATAATGTCACTGGGATAGAAACCGACACCCCATTGGCAAAAACAAGCCGATTTCCACAAGCATCTCTTGAGGCGAATTTTTTATGTGCAACACCATTCGCCACAGACAAGAACAGGCAGTAATCACCAGATAGTGCCAGGTCCGGACTATAAGGTGAATGCATAAAAACATATAATGAATCACTATCAATGTGTGTGGCTTGGCGGTGTCCTCTTGGCTGCTACCGAACTATTGCTTTCTTTAAACGGTACAATTGTTGACAGTAAAGATCCGAATTAAAAGTTTGGTTTTAGGCCAATCTCACCAAACACATAGGAAAACCTTCAATACCGCTAAACCTGGTTTGGCCACCGTTTGTGTCTACTCACCGCTATTTGACCACGTTCGTTTTCACTTGACGTTGTCGTAAGTGACTCACTTTTCTCGAATCGTGGATTGAAATTCGGTTCATGAGATATTTCGATACTCGAGTAGCACTTATACATCGAGCATCTTTTTGTATTGTGCAGCCCTACTTAAATGGTTCCATGCGGTTGTTGCTACTGGGCAATCGAAGCAGCATTTCGACCGGACTCTACGATTGTCATTGAATGATAATTGATAAGTAGCCACTCAGAGGGAGATTCATCTTTATAAAAATTACCAAAACCAAAGTTGCATTTGATTAACACCTAATCATCAAGATCATAAATACTAGTCAAGCAATCACGAAACTGTCTGAGAAGTTTTTTAATATCGCATAGCGCTTATCCACCGCGAGATACAGGTCATCTACTAGAAAAATAACGGATTTATATTTACTATACCTTGGAGGCACGAATTTACGGTTTGCTTTGAGGCACTCACCAAAGATATGTTTATTCCGATTACACTTTTTTTATTTTCTCGTTGAAAAGTGATCGCCAGTGAGCTTAACTTTGGATGTGAAATTAAAGTAAGCTTATCAGTAAATAAATAAATACGTTTCATATTGCCACCTCTCTGCTATTACTAATTTGTGTAATTACACTTAGTTATCTAGCTCTTCGAATGCACTTGTGACTCACTCACCTGTACTCATAATTATTTGAATTTGCATAGTATTGCTTAGAAGATATCCAACTAAAAAGGTTTGGCCTTCAAAAGCGCTCGACTTCGTTCAATAATCATCGTCTTTTACGTGCTCCTCGAATTTTTTTTTTTTTGTTGGAAAATCTACTAATATTTAAATTATGTCCTATTTTTGAACTCAAGAATGTTTAGGGATCTTCTCGTAATAGAAGTGTCATAAGGATTATAGTTTATTAATTTTGTATGAGCAAAACGTAATAGATTTGCTATCGAGAAACAACGTTGCGTTGAGACATTAATCTTTACAGTTGACTTAGATGATTCCATATATGGCCAGTCTGGGAGTTATTTTAATGAAATAAAAAAATCTAACAAATCATATGACCCAGCTTCGATCGTCTAAGGCAAGACTATGAATATGTTCGGCTACACCGGAACTAAGCTTAATATGTTTGGATTCGTCACTTTTAATTGCTAAAAAAACCCCTTTCATTTAAATACTACACGTAATAATTATTTTGCGATTTGTAGTATTTCTATT